GTGAGGGAAAAAATAAAAAAAAAAAAAATCCAAGTCTAAAGTATTTGCTTGAGAATTCAAGGTCTTCCAGATCCTCTCAGCCAAATACAGCTTTACTAGGCTGCCTCACGGATGCCTTGTACAGTGTCGCAATGCTTCAGAGTTCATCTCCTACGTATTCTAGCAAACGAGGTCATATCACGGCCCCCAACTCTGATGACCTTAGATGTTCCACATATTCCAAGTGTCATAAACTTGCTTTTATAAAGCCTAAGACCAGTTGCACAGCTCACGGGAATACATCTGCCACTCTGAACCCTACGGCTGAACCTAGATAGACAGATCTAGATAATTTAACCTTTTCCTGAGAGACCAAATCTACTACGTTCTTCTCAACGGACGCATTTAAGACTCACAGATTCAGATCATGCATTAGTTGCGTGGCTTTGTTAACCAAATATTGCCTCTCAAATTATTCTACTTCAGCCTGAAAAACCATTTTTTGCAGTTGTAAAAACAGAACCGGCAGCGTGATCCTGGCAACTCCCCTGTTTGCCAGTGAGCGCTACCAGCCAACCTCAGCGTCAGATTTGGTCAGTAAATAAACAGAGTATATTCAACAGAAGTAAGAACCACTCACAAATTTCATTTTCTTGGGGGGGGGAAACAAGGAACAAGTCCTAGAAACAAAACTCCTCGTTCTAAGACTTTAGGTCCTGCCCCACGTTTGCCATGAGGAATTCCAGGGTGGGAACCAACCAACGTGGTGAATCATAGAATCATAAAATCACAGAATCGTTCAGGTTGGAAAAGCCCTTTAAGATCACCAAGCCCAACCATTACCCTAACCCTGCCATCCCACCACTAAACTCTGTCCCTAAGCAAATCAGTGATAGTATTTAGTTACACAAAAGGAATTAATGCCATTTGAAAACCGGACCACGTTTTCTAAGGGGCTGATGATCTTTTTTGGTGTGTGCATGTATGTGCAGCTATTAAAGGGTACAAAGGTTGACCTGAACTGAACCCACACTTGAGGCATCTCCAGTCTCTAAAAATGTAACGGGCTGTTGAAGCAAATCTTTGCGGCCGAACTGAACTTTCCACTGCCACCCTCTGACTACCAGGCAAATGATTGGCCAACTAGAGCGACAACAGAGGATTGTGCAGATCAGCTCTTTGTCTGCAACCTCCAGCTCCGCTCCCTGGTGTGATTGCTCCTCCAACAGCAAATGCAACTGGCTGGAAAGCAGATTTTAAGATTTCCTCAAACTAAACAGTGGGTTGTACACCACAATGTAGGCATA